ATACTTGATTTTTATCCAATCTCATCTTCAACATCATCTTTTTTTGCACCTCTGGACGTCTGTTTTTTGTTTGGTGTTCAGCTGAAGTCTTATACTTTCCTTGGTTCCCCACTATTGTGCCAAAGTGTCAGTCCATCTTTGTAACTTTTATTTTGGGAACAGGAAGGAGTTGCAAAACTAGCAAGTATGATGGGTTTGTTAATAAATACTTTCCTTGAGGATCACAGCCCACAGTGGTGTACAACTGTTCACAATAATGACTGTTCATCTGAGCTCACAAGTGATGGCCCTCATTATAAAAGCTGGAGAATTTGATTTCAAGAAGTACTCTGTAGTTTTATGGACACAACTAATGTGACTTTGAGGAGGAGTGATCTGAAAACAGCAGCTGAGCTGTCAGCAGTCTGAGGAGAGATCCCAAATCTAAGCCAGGTCATGTTTTTTAATTTTATCAGCAGCAATTTAGAACTTTGTGATTGCACCAAATTTTGACTGATTTTGAACAAACTCCATGTCAGTGTCAGTTTCTCTCTCGTGGACCTGTGTTGATTTGTGAGGGACACACATTTACAGAAAATTGCAATTAGACATAAAGGTTTGTACAGTTCACATAGCAAATTGTTAACTTTGGTTCATTTTGTGAGTTCATTGTGAATAAATGGCTGAATATTTAATGCACAAACCAAAAAGCAAAGATTTGATGTTTTTATTTTTCATGAAATCCATCATCGGTTTTCTGCTTCCATTGCAGTTAAAGATATTAGAAGAGAATTAAGTGGAGAATTTCAAGAGTAATATAATGATGGTAATTTTATTTCTGTTGCAATAAAGGGCCCTGTCATCGGCAGCTGGTACAAGGTTTTGGACCGACTGGTTGTTGGAGGAACCAAAAGCGCTGCCATGAAGAAAATGCTGGTCGACCAGGTGGGACGAGCATCTTAAGGACCCTTAATCGTCGTCGTCTTCTTGTTGTTGTTCTTGTTGTTGTTCTTGTTGTTGTTGTTGTTGTTGTTCTTCTTCTTCTTCTTCTTCTTCTTCTTAGCAAACCGAACACCAGCTCAGCAATAAAAACAGCTTTCTGTGTGTATTCGGCACTCGCACTGAGCTTGTTAGTTGTGGCAAACAGAGTGGATGAATCCTGACTGCTCAGATTGTTTTGACTGACAGATGAGTCTTTGTTGTCCTGATAGGAGGAAACTCTTGTTAGCAGACTGTTTTCCCTTTTTGTGAAGCTTTTGAGCCGAGAGGCTGAGTTATGCAACAGAGCTCCAGTTTTTGCCCCTCAGCTGTAGGTTGGTGGGGTATCGTTGTCATCTACAGGGTGAGCGGACACCCACGTTTGTGAATGCGATAACTCAAGAAGGAAGTCACAGAGGATTTTCAAATTAATACCTTAGGTATATCTACTAGGGTGCTGAGTGGTAGCACTGGTATTTTGTAGTTGCTCATTTAGTTGTTTAAATGAGACAGCCAAAAAAAAGATATAATAGCCTAATTGATAGAAAAACCTAAGAAACTATCTAAAGCAGAACATACTTGAAATGTTGTTTACTTTGTATAATGTTTCAAACACATGTGATGTCAGATTAGTTAAGAGTTGCAGGTGCAGTTTGATTACACCTGACTTCGGTTGCTTAGTTATATTCCAGTTTATTCTAACAAAGCTTGATATACAGTTACTTTGCATTGATTGATTTATAAGTGCTGCAGAACAGCTGTCATCTGTTTAGTTTAAGCCTCTGTTTATTTACTGCTTCATTCATAGAAAGAGAGGAAACAGGGTTCAGCGCCAGCGAGTGGCCGATGGTGGTAGAACAACTTTGAACCAGGAATTCCTGTTGTAATTTAATAAAATAAGAATATTGCTGAATATAACTGACTATCATTTTTGGCATTGAGTAGCAAAAGCTGCAACGTTTAAATGTTTAGTCGACTAGTTGCACATAACTATAATCTGTACCTCATGCTTCCTGAATGAATCATTAACTTTAGATTAAGGTACACAAATATATCAGTAAAATTATATAGCATAAACTTGGAATGCAACTTGTCTGTAAATGTCTAAAAACTAGTCATTTTTGGTAGCTTCATGCTGCCCCCTGCTGTGTTTCAGTGAAACTGCAGCAGAGCAAAAAAAAAAACAGTATCTGCTTGTTACTCAATAAAATATTTACTGGAGCAAAGGGTCCACTTGCACGCTTGAATAGTGATCCAGTCGCACTGTCTGCGCTGCTCGCTTCACCTCAGTGTGCATAACAAACAGCAGCACTTGAAAGATTTAAGGTGATGCAGCTGTAGCGTCTTCCTGCGTCAGACCTGATCAGCCAGAAGAAGTCGAGTGACTGTTCATGTAAGATTCATACTAGGAACAGTTTAACCTCAGTCTTTCAGATTTCTTAGATTATCACTGGTATGTATTTTATTACTTAATTACTTAAGTAATAGACTCAGTTTGTTACTTTGTTTCTGGACTCCATCAGCTTCTATGGAGTAGCAGCTAAGCATCCCAAGATCCTCGGAAAAACAAATACAATCGAACGAAATGAATGAAACATCAAGAAAGTAAGACAAAAAGAAGAATGACAGCGAAGGAAAGATTTCATCCTCCATGATGTTTCTTTAAAGACTTCCTTTTCCGGATGTGCTGCAGGAAAATGTTTTGTCACAAGTAGATTAATTAGATATTTATCACCCAATTTCTCATAATCAAAAGTCATGTTCTGTTTTTAGGTTGCACGTTTACTGCTCAGTTTAGGTTGATGTCACACTGCCAGAGGGGAGCTTTTTAAATAAAACTGACCTGAAATCTGCTGATTTAGGCCACAGCAGTTACACTTATGATTAACTTAGGATTCTTCTTCTTGTTTTTTTGGTTTGTTTCCTTACAGCTGTGTTTTGCGCCATGCTTTCTGGGAGCCTTCCTCTGTATCTCTGGTGCGCTGAACGGACTGACAGTCGAGGAGAACGTCACCAAGCTCAGGAGGGTGAGTGAGTTTTATTTCAGTATCCTGTCATGATTCATTCCCAACATCATTACCCAGCGGAAAAACAATCCAGTGTAAAATGGGAAATAACATGCAAAACACTAGAAATAACTCTGTGTCATGTGTCTCTCACCCTTTGACCCTTGTGAAGTGTAAGTCTGAAAAAAGGCGTTAATGAGCCTGAAAAAGAAGCTTGGTAGCAGATAGGGCAATAAACTGGGGTGTTGGTACAGCTGCTTGACATTTTTCTGACCATTTTTAATGGTCACCTTTAACCCTGTGTTGAATGAGTCCATCAGTATTGTAGTGTTGTGGAAAATCTTTCAGGTTGACGTTGATCAATTTGAAAAACTCCACTTGAGGTAAAAGGTTAGAGTTTGACCTGATGTGTCTTCAGCTCATTTTTTATTTATAAATGTTACATCGTCACGTAAAAACAGGTTTATCCAAAGCCTGAAAGGTATCGGTTTGAATTGCACAGATAAATTACTTTGTGTTACCGTAAAATTGCATTTAAATACATAGAAAAAAGAATCTATGATTCAGATTTCAGATGCAAAGTCTTCGTCAAACCCTCCTTTCTTTGTTCTTCGTGTTCTTCATTGTGTGGCATGAATTTGACCTTTTTAAGCACTAAAACTAAACCTGAGACGAACAAACTGGTCAGAGAGCAGTAAGCTTCCTGCACGCACACAGCTCAGGTAAACGACAGTACACAGAGAGGAGGTTTGGTTTTCATCATAGCTACAGTATCTGACCTCCAACACTCACCTCTCATTATTATTGGAAACTATTTCCTGTGATGGAGGAAGAGATGAGAGAGAGAGAGAGTGTGGAAATAACCAGTGTGACTCATACCTTCATATATACGTGTGCGAGCGTGTGTTTGTATGCCAGGTCAGAGCTAACTGTCATCTTGTGCCAGCTGCTCAAACGCCCGTCGCCGCCTTGCTTTCCCAACATGCTGCTGATCACCATCAATTATTTACAAAAGGAGAGGCGCAGACCTGAAAGGCCAACCTGGTAAATGTCACAAAGGACAGAAAATAAATGACAAATGCGCTCGTTACAACGGGGTCTGGCACTGAGGAAATGTGAGATGAAAATGAATGGAGCCCCTGACCAAACAGCCGCTGTGATTGATAAATCTGGACAGAGTTCCAGTCGCAGCTTTGCTTCTCTTGTTTACCTGTTCTGCTTTTTACCTGCAACTGTTTGGTCAGAGTCTTGGTCATTACTCAAAAATAAAACACAGTACACTGGAGAAAAAGTGAGAGAAACAGGTGAGAAGTGTGAGGCTCTGGTTTTAAAACATCACAACTTTATCACTGCACAGTTTTTCAAGGCACTTGGCAGGTTGGGGTTTTGAAGCATGTTGTTCCGTTTGCCGTCATTCTCTTCCAAGATCAACTCCACGATGTCAGGGTCAGACCACATGCTGTGCTGTATAACTGATCAGAGTCTGAACATTCATAATATTCTACACAGTGTAAAGACAGGAAGAGCAGAAAAGTGTGACCGCTGTTAGATGTTGCATATACAGTACAGGTGTAAAGTGCAAACACAAATATAGCTTCCACGTGCTGCCCTGGGAAGACCTGGATCCCAAAACTTGAACGTTTAGACAATCTTATTAGATTCTTTTTTTAAATGAATAATTTAGCTGAATTTGGGGTTTAGTATTTCACTAAAGTTTTACAACAAAACTTCATATTTATTGCATCCTAAAAAGCTCCTAGAAGAGGTAAGAAAGGTCCCGTCTTGTGTGGGTAAAGACATTGACGTAATTTCACCCCAGGTGGCAAACGAGCTTGTTTGACCATAATTAAAACACTGTTTTCACCCTGGAAAAAAGGCAAAAAAATATTATAGCTGGAACATTGGCTTGTTGGTTTTATATGCCAAGAGATGTCAGGGTGACCTTTAAGTAGACAGGTTGGTTTTTTTCTTAGTGTGTGTGTTTTGTAATATTGTGTGTTTGAGAGAGAAAGTTGTTTATTAAGAGCACACACCTGATTTCTACCTTCAGGTTGCATCGCCAGCATAACAAAGCGCTTTAAGACAATACACACAGACTTCAGACACAAATCGTCTGTAATATCCAGTTAGGTCTTTAAAAGTATTGTCAGGGTTTTAGAGTATATTGAATTTAGAGTTATCTGATGAATGAGGGCTTTAAAAGCAGACATTTGATTAAATATAGAGGAGTTACAGCCTAACTGTAAATGTGCTGCAACATTTTTCTTGTTTTAACAAAATGAGTGAAATAAAGTGTATTTATGTGTGGCTGATGAAGGTGTTCATGCATACAGTTTACCTTCCGTTTGGACAGAAACTACTCACCAGCTGTAGTTTGAACACATCAGCATTCCTCACTTCCTCCCCCACCGGCAGCTTCAACTGTTCTGATGGAAAATGCTGCAGGGCTGAACTTCGTACCTAAGCAGGAGGTCACGAGTTTGTCCGTCATGTTTAAGTGGAGAAACACTTTATTTCTGTCTTTTAAATACAACTAAAAGTTTCCTCTTAAGATTTTTGTCTTTTTTTTTAGTAGGCTGAGGGAGAGGAGTGCAGCTTTCATGAATTAATGTACTCTCAGTGTCTGCAGTGGTAGGTGGACAGGAAGTCTTCTGACACTCATTCATCCATGATCTAACTGATGATCTCAGGGGCCAGAAGCTTGGATCTGTGGCAGTGAATGTGAAATAAAATATTCATCCATGAACAGGAGCTTGATGAAGGAACAAAGAAACAAACAGATCTTTGTTCAATTATGTAAAACAATCTGTGCTGCTAACTGTGTGTTTCCAGTGGGGGGGGATGTGTACGACCAAATTATATCTTTAATGGGATTGTTTTGATGTTGAGTCAGTTTACTTTTTATTAAAAGAAAGTATGTTTGGAATCTGTAACAGAGTTTCTCTTACAGGCTCACAGCACAGTGTCACATTTCTTCTAGACACCCTCTGATTTCCACATGAAGAGCTAGCTAATAAAGAAATAGTTCTTCTTTCTTGGATAGTAAATTATGTTTTAGAGTTGCTTAATTTAACACAATAACTTCACATTTGAAACCTCATGTTGAACTTTTGTCAAGACCATGTTTGTCTATTTGGGGTTTTAGAGGAGTGGAGAGGAGCATGATGCTCTGATTATAACAGAAGGCGATATGAGAACCTGAAAAAAAAAAAGCAGCAAAATAACCATTTCCTTTCCATTGTTTTCGTAATAAATTGAGTTTAGCCTAAAATATTTGAATGTTTGTCATTAAAGTAATTTCAGTTGGTACCGACATGATAATATTTCTCTTTCTGTGTTCACAGGACTACACAGATGCCCTGATCTCTAATTACTATGTAAGTGTTCAGTGTAATCTATTTTTATATCTCTTCAGAATATGTTTCACTGATCAGTTGAATGTTTCCTGTTTGTTTCAGCTTTGGCCTCCAGTCCAGATTGCCAATTTCTACTTCATTCCTCTGCACCACAGGTGAGAGTTTGATGGCTTCATTAGCATGCAGGCAGTGAGCTCTGATCATATTTGAAGGTTAGTGAGAGCAGAAGAAGCTTGTATACAGAGTCAAATCTTAAGGGTTTTATTTTTACATTTCGACTGCTTTAACACAGTCATTTCTGCACTTTTAGGATACATACTCTGTCTGATCTTAGTGGATTATTTTAAATCTGAAAACATGTTTTGAAGTTGTAGTTTTACTAGTTCTGCATCTAAATGAGACATCATTTGTTTCACTTGTGAAAATGTCACATGAAACCAACTTTAATTGTCTCAGAAAGCCTTTATTTCCATCTTTATGAAACTCTCCGACTTAAACTGCATCCAAACCAGACACATCAGATTTCGTCCTCCTTGCAGGCTGGCTGTTGTCCAGGTCGTTGCTGTTGCTTGGAACTCCTACCTGACCTGGAAGGCCAATAAGATGTGAAGGACGCTCACAAGTCCAGCCTGTGTCGTTCTCGCTGATGATTACTTTGCACTCATTCGTAGTGTGTGTGACATGGGCGTAACTTACTTTAGGCTACTTAGTCTGCTGGTATTTCCAATGTGTAAAGCTGTGACTGAGTCACGCGTAAAGGTCGGGAGAAACGGCTCGTCTACTCCGAGTGACAAATTCACACTTGAAAGTCAAACTTGCATTTGCAGAAATGTCTGTGAAAGTTTATTATTTATGGAAATGGGATTTGGCGGTGGTGCTGCAGTGTATCCACACATACACACTCATACATTAACACCTATTGCTCACAAAGGAAACTTTTGTAATCTCTTTGGTGTATTGACATCATTGTTTTTGTACTATGTGTTGGTTTTTTTTCCAATAATGGACTTCTAGTCAGATATTTTAAGTGTATTCCAGAGTTTCTAATAATGTGATTTTAGTTTACATAGTTGTGTTTTTTACTTTGTCTAAACCTGCCTCATCTTTTACTTTATTTTCCTGAATTTGACAGATGAAGAGGTCAAACCTCCTGCAGCATTTACAAAGCTGCATTACTGGATTAAATTTTTCTTTCTTTTAAAATAAAATCAGAGTAGTGACGTTTTTCTACATTCGAGAAGTGTTGCAGCAGATTTGACATCTTCAGACTGTCTCCTTTCCTCTGTGAAGTTTGCAAGCAGGTGAGGTTGTGTCAGCTGTCTCTACTTTTCTTTTACATTTGACAGATCTCAGGAAAAAGCTGATATAAATGGACAAGATGCCACAGTTTGTCTTCACTCAGATTACACCAACTCTTATCTGCTTTGAGTTTATTTTGTTGGTCGAGGTTCCTGTGGTTAAAGTACCTAATCTAACATCATGGCTATGTAAAGAAAGAGCCTTGTTCCTTATCTTATATAGTAAGTTACAACAGTTGCCTCAAAGCGCTTTATATTGAAAAGTACAATAGACCCTACAATAATACAGAGAAGAAATTATTGTAAATTGGATTTAGGTCTGAATTTAAAATAAAGTGCATAGAATAAACCATTGTATAAACGGGAGTTTGTTTCCTCTAGTCTAAAGCATTTTGAGTGTTCAGTAAGGACAGAAAACTGCTATGCAAGTGCAAATACATTAATGCAACACCAACATAACGTGTCATAAAAGCACGAGTGAGATCAGTCTTCTCTCTGCAAGGACAGTCATATTTACTCAGATGTCAAACTGTTCCTTTAACAGTCAGTGTCACATTTTTTCTGTTAAACTGTAGCTGCTGAAGAGTCACCACTAATCCGCAACATAACCCAGGATCATGCTAGTGCTGCATTCCCCTTTTTCAGGACATGAAGAATCTTTTTCTCCATAATGTGCACATTTTTGATATTTAAAGGTCACGTCTGGGGTAAGAGCTAATAAAGTTTTACACGAGTTGAGTTTATGAGTCTGTGGTGTGTTTGACCTCGCTAACTTTGCTTTGGATGGGGTGGGGTTTGTTTGTTTGGAGGGAGATGTGGAGGCTGCTGAGCTGGGCTGCCAACCAAATTAACTGCACACATTTTCTTTTTTTTTGTTCCCCCCCCCCCCCCCCCCCCCCCCCCCACACACACACACAAACACACACACACTCGCGGTCCATATCAGGGAAAAACAAGCGGAAAACGTCTGACGAATCGATTGAAAATCTGCCAAATATCCCCACCGCCTGCCTGAGGGAAATGAGCCTCTCCCCAGAAAGCTGGATTTCATTTTTTTAATTCATCTCCCAGGCTCGCTGTGTTTGAGAATTAAGGCCCAGTAATTAAACGAAGATACAGTGTGTAGGCTTTTTAGCAGCACAACCTGCGAACAGTGTGTGATGGGGCTGACATCTGTGATCAAAATGAGATCTGATCTGTAATTTGAAGTTACTGATGTTGGCTCATAATTTGTGTGGATTTACACAATTTGTGACCTCAGAGTGTTTGAAAGAAGTCATTTTCTCCTCATTTTCATGTTTGTCCTGAAGAAAAAGTGAAAACAGCAATATAGTTTCATATGAAAGATAATATTTGCAAATTTTCATAATCAAACTGTTCTACAGGCTGTTGCTAGCAGGCATTGTTGTGTGTAAAAGCACAAAAATGCTCTTTTGATTCCCAGATAATAACTTTATGTCTAAATTTGTAGAACCCAAAGATAACATTTAGGGAGTACATTCATCTCTGTCTGTGTATGTTATAGGTAATCTAAGGAGATTAGAAAGAAAAGCAACTGGACTTCTTTAAGTTTCTTCTTTAATTTCATCTACTATCATGATTTAACACCATAGAAGTCAGTTTGTTTAGCTCAGAGTGAATTGAGTCAAACAACTGAGTTGTTTAATGAATCAGAGGAAATGCAGGGGAAAAGCACATTTACAATTGCTGCTCCTTTAAAAATAATCTCTCTCTTTAAAAAAAGAAGGGAACAGCAAGTGCACACAGAGCTAACAACCCCAAGTATTTGAAGTGTTTTAAAAGAAGAAAACTTTGTTGTGATTATGCCAGACCAACTTTATGTAATGTGCAGTGTATTAAGAATAGCTGTGTGTGAGGCTGCAAAATGTTTCAGGTCTGTAAAAGGAAAAGTTGAACTTGAGGATGTAAACTTGTGTTTGGCCTTAATTACTTTTGTCCCCTATTTACGTGATTCATAATATTTAACTATGCAACTCTGTGACTCACTCAGAGTAAATAGCATCTACTATGGATTTCTTTATATTCTGGTTTCACTGGTATAAAAAGTGAGCTTTTACTAATAATCCCGTGACGGTTCAGCACCATAGACAGCTCCCTTACCCATTCAGTCCGACTTTAAAGACGTTTTTCATGTTCTCAGCTTCTATTTAATCTTTAAAAGTCATTTCTTTGTCTAATTTGGCCAAAGCAATACTTTGCTTTAGAGCACAGCCTGGTCAAAAATAAAGGTTTAACTTCAGGCAGGTGAATGTGAGCTGAATTAATGTTGATTTATTGTCTTTTGCATCTTCTTGCATCACTTCAGCGCTTAGTTTCTGCCTCTAATTCGCCTCTAATTCTTTCATTTGAACTTCTGAAAGTGAAATAGCCCTTTAGCAATGCAGTGCAGGGAGACAGACTCTTCACAGATTTTGATTCATATTATTATTATTATTCAGATTATTCATATTTAAGAGAGAATTTAAGGCAGTGCGGGTTGCAAAGAAAAAACATAATCACGCACAACCAGAACAAAATAATTCTGATAATATAAGAATAAAAAGTTGGGCAGTTTCCTGAATCGCCCCAGAAATCGCACACCCATTGACACCTTCCTCCTGTACCCCTGTGAGTTTACCTCATCAAACTTGATGACCCACCAAGGATGAAAAAGAAATGAAGCTGTAAAAAAAAAATCACGTCCTTTATTCGTCGTCCATCACAGCTTCCCCAGCTGTCCCTCGGGACTTCTGTGCTTTGCGTCTCGATAGTTGTCCGGTTTCCAATGCGCTATCTGTGCTCACATTGACGTCAAAGGAGCGGGCAGGACGTATAAAACCCTCCGGTCCCCTCCAGTCTCCGCTCACAGGGACTTTTCAGACTCTGCTGAATCTCACCGGCCGACCGCAAAGTCCAGCTGCAGCATCTGGAGACAGTAAAGTAAGAACAGTAGTTCTTTCATTCACTCTAAAGTTTTGTTCATCATTTAAACTTTTTAATAACCGCGCAGTGAGGTGCTCGTCATCTTATGCGCTTTAGCTTGAACAATCTTTGGCTACAAAAGAAAATGTCGCCATTAAATATTCTTTTGTCATTTTAATTCCAGTTCAAGTAAATGTTCTAGAAGATTTAGGTTTCCCATCAGATTGACAGATAGCATTTCTTTTGCCTTTGGAGCGAACATGAGACTTTACATCTGCCGAATCACGACCCAAACTAAACTTTAAAGTTTTAAAAGTGTATGAATGACACGCTTAGCTCAGAGAGAATGTAAATAAAACGCAACATTTCCAAGATACACCATGAAACGTACTTTTAAACCTGAAGGTCTAAATGTCATCTTAAGTGTTTCCTTTGCTTGCAGGACATGAAGCCAGTCTCCCTTCTCCTGCTGCTCTCCTCGGTCCTCCTGTCATCACACCTCCGTCCAGCCGCCGGCAGACCGCGCACCTTCCCTGGCTGGATGAATGGCAGCGGTCGCCTTCAAACGCAGCAACTGGACGAGGTGCTCCTCAGAGCGGCTGCCGCTGGGGACAACGCCGCCTCCGATCTACTGGGCGAAAACATCATGAGGTTTCTCCAGAGGAGGAACCCGGATCGTCTCCACCTGCTCCCGCCAGAAGAAGACAGCGAGGAGGCGGAGGAAGCGGCTATGAGGACCGCGGCGCAGCTGCTGAAACGCAGCGAAGAGCCGCCGCTCTCCATCGACCTGACCTTCCACCTGCTGAGGAATATGATCCAGATGGCCAAGATGGAAAGCCAGAGAGAGCAGGCTCAGCTCAACCGCAAAGTGCTCGACGAGGTGGGGAAGTAAATCTCTGCTTCTTTTTGAAAATGCCTCCTTAACAGAGCCCAGAAGCTGTATCAATATTCCAGACCTCTGACATTAGTTTCTGTTCGTGCGCCTGCCTTCCTCTCCACATCATTTTACGCACAGTTGGTGCCATTTTACGCATCACAGCAGCTGTCATTAAAATGTAAAATGTTTTAAGTGTTATTTAAAGACATTGTTGGAAGATATGGAAAAGGACCTCTCAGACCCCCGCTGATCTTCAAACACACACAATCCTCTTAATCTCTGGACTTGTGGTGGACTCGTGGCAAAAAGGGAAAACCCCTGGATATCAAGTCGTTTTCACTCTTTGAAGTATTGGATGTGGTTTGACTTGGAAATCAACACTTCTTTATGAATTTATGTCTAAAATAAGTTGTTTAAGCAGTTTGTGTGTATGTGTTGTAAGCTTAATGTTTTCAGAAAGACTAAGCTGACCTGGGAATCTATAAACCCACTGAGAAGTGCTTTTGTTTGACCTTTGAATGCTGTAGATGTGACACATTAAAAGAAAGAGTTTATGGTTGCCAGCAGCCACAAATGTTAAAAAATATGTATTTATTCATTTTTAGTTAAGTATAAAGAAATACAAATGCACATTCAGATTCATTTAGATTAGTTTAAGCAAACTACATGTTTGTACAGAGTTGTAGAAAATGTATCTGCTTGCTCAAAGTTAAATTTCTGTCACTGTTGAGAACCAGAGGACAAATTTTCAAACCTTTTTCTGTCGGCCCAACTCACTTGTATATCATCACTTTGTCTCTTGATCAAGCTCAATAGACAGATGGTTATTGCCTTTTACATTAATTTCCCCCCTTTCTGTCATTTTTCTTTGAGCGGGAGCACTATCACCTGTACTGTATCTACTGTAGCATGGTAACCTACAAAAAAAAAAAGAAAAAGGAAAAAAAATGCTTAATTTTACTGTAACATTCATGTCTGACACCAGTCTCTTTGTTTTAGCAAATGAAAAAAAAAAACAAAGCTTTTTGCCATTTATATTTTGTAATAAAAAAGTTTGAAGTAAAAGTGTATGCCTTTGATGTTGTTATTGTTGCCATCTATGTGTGTGTATTGATCATAAAATACAACCTCATACTCTGATGAAGTGTCATCAAGTGTTTATTACAGCTGATCATTTCCAAAGTCAGGAGTGAAAGAAAATTGAAAATTGTTCCTATAGGCAAATGTAACTGGAGTTGAGTTCAGATGATTCTCGTTATCTTTCACTAGCACCACCACCAAAGGTTCAAACTTTCAAAGCAAAGTATTTCAATATTTTCCTCTTTTTTTCTTTTTCTTTTTTTTTTTGCAACCCACCAACATCCTCTAGCTGACCTTAATCAGACAAAAATATGTACACTGAACACTAAACTGTAAACATAAAACCATCAGACTTTGCTGAGGTCATTGTTTCTCCTCTTAGTATTTTATTTTTTGAGCTCTCCTCTTGCTCCACCTTCAGGAAAAGCCAGTTTCTCAGAATTACACATTTGTACAATTTTTGGAATTTTCCTCAGCATATTCACTGTCTACATTACAGTAGTTTAGGGTTATTTCCTGCCTTCATTGGCGAAAGGGCAGAAATGGGCAGGTTTATTGGTCCATAAAATGATTATGAAACAAGTGGCAGTCAATTTTCCTCCCTATCTTGATATTTCATCTCCTTGTGATTACTGTGCAGGACTTTATGATTATTTTGATGGATTTGCATCTCTTCATAGTCTTTTTTTTTTTTTTCATTTATGGAAAATTTTGCCAAAGATTGCATAGGCCCACCCTAAACATTTCAGTCATGAAGGTGCCTTAGTTTGAATTCAAATGACCTCCATTGATTTTTCTCTGATGCCACTCCAATCTAAAAGCCTTACATTTGCATTCAGCTTTTACTTTCTGGTTTAGG